CGGTTCGTCATATATCTTAAACACGCCCCATCATTTGGCGATTCCGGTTGATCTCGTCATATATCTTCAACACCCCCCCCCTCGTGATTCCGGTTCATCATATATCGTAGACACACCCTCTCTTTGGGCGATTCTGGTTCATAGTATATCTCAACCCCCCCCCCATTTGGACAGTCCGTTTCTTCGTGTGTGTTAGACACCCCCTCATTTGGCGGTTCCGGTTCATCATATATCTTTAACGCGCCCCCTCATTTGGCGGGCTTGGCACACTACGTTAGTCCTTCAGATGTAAACGTTACGAAATCTCTACAAGGAACGATTTCGACAGACACCCCGGCCAACACAGGCAACAGCTGACGAGCGCACGAGGCTTTGGTCTTTTGGGATTTGGGAGGCCGAGATTGCGAGCACATGCTTGACTGGCATGAACCGGGTAGCATTCAGGATCGCAGAATATCAAGCTGGGCGGGCTCAAGCAAGTAAGGGTTGCCAAGTATACAAGTTCTGAATACCGAGCAAAACACCCTGTGAGATCTCAACGAGTATCGGCAGTCGGATGCACGGCCGCGCATGGCAAAGCTGAGCCATGCGCCCAAGTCGAGCAAATCGGCATAGACCATGTCCTGAGATGGTTTAGGGTTTAAGGTGTGGTAGGGGTTATCAGGTTTAAGCTTCCAAGCATTCCCTGTAACACCGCGTAATGAGAGACCGTTCCTGAAACAAAAAGCCTACAAAGAAGAAGAAGAAGAAGTATTGCTTGCTTTGGGGGGCAGTGGCCTCTCTGGGATGAGCCCACAAGAGCTTCCAACAGTTAACCTCTTCACCCTGCACCTTAAATCTCAAAATCCCTAAACCTACAAAACCTACGGAAACCCGGAAACATTGAACCCGAAGCCTAACAGGGCCTAAGCCCCTCCGCTTTTCGGCCGCCGGGGGGCGTGCTCGTGGCCCTCTTTTGGCTTCTCGGGAGCCGCACTGGGCCTCGGCAAGAGGGAGTTGTTTAGGGTTTTTAGGGTTTTAGGTTTTTAGGGCTTTAGGGCCTTAGGGTTTTAGGGTTTTTAGGGTTTAAAGTTGTTTAGGGTTTTAAGGTTTTAGGGAGGAGGGCAAAAGAGGGCGGCAAGGGGATCCTAAGGATTAGGGCCTCAGGGCCATGAAGGAAAGAGGCGTTCGTTTAATTCGGGGCCTCCTGCAGCTTCAGGCTTCCGGGCATTTTCGGTGTCGGCTTTGGCTTGAAGATAGAGCAAGGGTTTGGGTTACATGCAGTTGCATCCGTCGTCTGGGATTAACGTTTACACTTCAAGTCTCAGGAGTTTAGGGCTCGCAGTTCAGGATTTGAAGCTCTGACACAGAGACGACTTGCGGTCTCCTTCAAACGTTGAGGTAAGCACGGCGATTCAGGTCTGAGGGTATGTATGCCGGAGATTAGATGTTGGTAAAATCTGAAATTCTACTCCCAAGATCGTAACCCCTAACCTCAAGGCCCAAGGCCGGAACTCTTCAGGCCCGAAGCCTTCAACCCTTACAAATCCTTGCAACACCGACACCCTACGCAGCAGCGCCAAGCGCTGCGGAGAAACTTAGGATCAGGGCCTCCGGTTTGAGAAATCAGCTGAAGGATCGTCAACCCTAAACCCACGGGATGGACCAAAGCCAGAACAGAGAACGACCTCTCCTTTCACAAGCCCCGCACACACAAACCAACCCGCACAGCCCCTGCACAGCCTCCCCAATCCTGAAGGCTGAACCCTCAACATGCGGGTTGAACTAGAAAACGAAATCCTGGCCTTTAACTTGTTTAAGTGGGTTTATCTTGGAGCTGCAGGGAGTATCTGGTGCTTCCCGAGTAGTGCCCCTACTTACATACAAGCCCGTGAGCTCGTGATACCTGCTACAAATAACTGGGTTATTGTCGAAAACTCTTACGAAGTCTTGGGTGGATGGGTCCCTATATTCATCCTTCCTGCCAACAACTTGCCAACAACCCCTCAGTCCTCAGAGCCACCAACCCTTGATTGACCTCGAAACCTCAAGCCTAACCCTTGACCCCAAACTCTAGACCCCTCAACCGGATAACCCGAAACCGCCTTCGTACGGGCCTGAACATCGACTTCTTCGTCTTCCGCTTTGGATTTGGTGAAGCTTGTGCAGCCGCTTCTCGGCAGGGCTGGAGGGATTAAGAGCGAGTGCAGAGAAAGCTGCACCCTAAGATCTGAACAGTAAGTGCTGGAGGTCAGGGCCTAATCAGAGCCTGAAGCCTAAACCCTAAGAGACTTCATGCAGAAGCCTTGCTGTACAGGTCCGGGGAAATCAAAAGTGAGACCAGGGGAGAAAAAGCTACTGCAAAAACTGCACAGAGTCCTACAATCATAAGAATGAGGAGAAGAAGAAGGAAGACCAGATTAGCAATAGCAGTACTTGCTGCTTACTCTTTCCAAGAAACTTCAGTCGAAGTCGAGCACATGGCGGTGTTTAAAGGAGACCCCTGCTGAAGAGGGCTGCTGCTGCACTTTCAGGGGCTCTTTGCGTTCAGGGCTTCTGGAACACGGTGCCTGGGCACCACTTCAGCCGTTGGGTTACTTGTGGTGCCTCTTGTTGCTGTGTTTTGCAATACACAAAACGAGAAGTATCGATGCTTTATTCTACAATAGATCCTGGCGCTGTCTAAGAGACCAAGGTCTGCTCAAGCAATAGGGACAGGGCACAATACACAGCTGACATACAGCCGAACAGAGTGAAGAAATTTATAAACTTCCACAATCTCAACCCCTGACTCTGGCGCCTGCACCAGCAGGCAGCACGACTCGGCTCGGGCGCTTGCCGCCCGTTTGCTGTAGGATACGCCTGGAGATCTCGACAAGCTTGGGCTTGGAGTGCAGCGCTGAGGTTTCGGGCTGGTGCGAAAGTCAAGAGGCATTCACAACAGGTCTCGAGGTCAAGCAGCCCATCAACTCAGTAGCATTCACCCACCGCCTGCTGACATCGTGCCGGGCATCCGACTCGTGTTGCAGACAGCCAAACACGAGCCGAGTCCCAAAGCCAATACTTCACACAAATCTCTACGACTCCGACGCTGAGACTTGGCCACCCCAACAAACCCAAACCTCCAGAGTTCGAAACGCTACGCCCAAACACCCTGAAATCCAAAAATCATCAATCCTCAGACCGTCAACGCCGAAAAATCTGAACCCCAACATCCTGAAGCCCTGCAGCCACGAAAGCCAACACCAAGCGCAATAAGCAAACGCTACAGCCATTTAAGCTACGTAAGGTTGAGTTCAGGGCGATCTACATACAGGACAGGGCCTTCGCCTCCGCTGCTCACCCGCCATTTCAGGCTCCTGCGCTTGCTGGTGTCTACGATGACCATGGTGTTTCTGATGCTGCTGATGACGAGGTTGATGATGAAGAGGAGGGAGATGAATGAAAGACATCGTCACCGCAGTAGCAGGCGATAGTAGTAGTGGTAGTAGTAGTAGTAGTTGTTGTTGTTGTTGTAGTAGCAGCAGTAGCAGTAGCAGTAGTACTAGTACTACTACTACTGCTACTACTACTACTAACTACTAACTACTAACTACTAACTACTAACTACTAACTACAAATAACTACTACTACTACTACTACTACTACTACCACCACTACTACTACTACTCTCATTAATAATAGTAATAATAATGCTAGCAATCATAAAAAGCATACGAACAAGAAAAAACACTGATAGTGAGAACGATAAGCAAAACCTTAGTATTAACAGCAATAATCACAATAAGAAGAAGGATAAACAAAACACTATGGTAATAAGTATTACTCTTACTGCCATTCTTCTAGTTATAATACAGAAGGCTAAGAAGTAATGTTAGTAAGCACTGAGGCTTCTACAATCCCATCACTGAAACCCTACATACAGCCCCCCCCCCCGCCCCCCGCCAAGCAAGAACCAAGGCGTGTGGCAGAATACCCCTGGGCTTAACTGTCGAAAGCAACGCAAACACGTGTCACCTGGAATGGGGCCCTAGATAGGCACCGAAGCAAACCCCCTCTCCCGGGACGGGAGAGGGGGTCTGCTTTGGACGCGACTGATCACGAATCGGACACTTTCTAGACCAAGCGATGTTCTGAAAAGAGCCTTGCCGGAAGCCGTGCACATATAGACCCTCAACAAGCACAACCTAGACCCAAGAAACCCCAAACCCAGAAAATTGAAACCAAGAAGTCCCAACGGCAATGTCCGACGACAGCGCACCCGGAAACCGCAAACCCAGAAAAAACATGCCTGAAGCCTGATCCCAGACACCCGTCGCCCTAGAACCCTGCGGAAAACTCGGCATCGCAAGGGAGGGGAAATGGTACCACCCGGTCCGTGTGACGGCAGGCCCCGGGTTGCAGTCGGCTTGGGCAAGGGAGTGGAAATGGTACCCGTTTGAGCACTTTTGGGATGCTTTGACTTTGTCGTGTGTCGGTTGAAGCCGGTTGTCTGAACCTTTCTTGTTGTCAGGGCCTCCCGGCCTTCCCCCAGGGTTGGAGCCTTGCTGCCTGAGCAAGACAATGCATACAACGTTTCGAAGTCAGCTCATGTCATGAACAGCAGTTCTTCCAAGATGTTTCTTGTCAGAAATTAGCTGGCGGTTAAGGAGTTTTTTTTATTTTTGGGGGTGGTCTGCCAGGCATTTTGGGGGGTCTGCCGGGCATTATAATGCCTTGCCCCACCCCTACTCTAGGCTACCACCGGGCATTCTCCAGGAGTAGAGATCTTCTACATTAGTTCGGGCCAAGGCACCCCAGCTGCCGCTCGGCGCCTTCTTTAGAAGGGGTCGAGGCGGCATGGCTCAGGGCACACAGTTGCGCGATTCTGTGAGATCCCTGCTTGGAAGAGTTGGATGGGAAGCTTTGAAGATGAATGTTGGGTTTTGGGGTTTTGGGTTCAGGGTTTGCGGTTTTTTTTGATCTGGTGGGCTGAAGATAGCGGGGGATGTCCTGAACAAACGCTGGCTGCTTGTTGACATCGCTTTCTGCAACTGAGCCAGACATCTGCCCGACGCCCGCGCTGTCTTTGCAAGGAAAACTGCCCAGCATCCAGGTGGAGACAACTACCCTCAACTGTTCATAAGACACACCGAACAGCAACCCTGAGCCTACCATGAAGTAGGTTTCAGGCTTTGGATCTCGTGGGTCAGGTCTGAAAGCAGCTCTATTCCTGTGAAAACGAAAGCAAACCCCGAGACCCCGAAAGCATCTTTCCGTCACGCCCGAATTCGGGAAGCTGTAAGATGGCTCAGTGGGCCGAAAGCCCCAAGCCGGGCAACCCCCGAAACCCGAAAGCATCATGTTAGGGCCTCAAATCAATCAGGCTTGGGGACAGGTTCTAGTAGAATCAGTCTAAGGAACTCTAAGGTACAGTTTTGCTTACTATTGCGGCTGCCTTTCTACCGTCTTCATGCAAGAAAACCTATGCCATTGACGGCCAAGCCTCTGCGCTCCAAACCTCCCACGACCTAGAACATCCTCTCACCTGGAGAGCCTCCTGTGCAAAACATCCAGCCCTCATCCTTGCGACCTCAAAACCCTCGAACCCGTACCATGCCCTGAACCCTGAAAATGCACCAAACGATCGACAGCTCGGAAATGCAAGGCCGCTACATGGCCGTGCTGTACTCGTAGACCCAGGCAAAGCACATGACGAAGCCGAAGAGAATCCACATCTCTTTAGCCTGAGATGGTGGTGATCGTAAGTAGAAAGCAGCAGTTTAATTTTAATAGATACTAACCGCTTTCTGCAATCCTTCCTGTAACCCCTCGTAGCTGTTACAGAAAACCTCGTGGTAATCCTTCCGCTGATCTGGCTCTTGGCCTGTAAACAAGGTCGAATCGAGCACTGTATAGGCTTCAAGCTCATTTGGGCTGTCTGGTTCCCCAGTACATTCCTGAATGATAAGGGCGCCCGTTTTGCAAGTATTTTGTGCTCACCCCTGTCTCCAAACATGCCCATCGGCAAACGACTTCCCATGAGTTGCGAAACTTCGTGCCCGACAACCTTCCAATTTAAGCGTGTGCGGCATGATACATGCGGGGTATAGTACACGGCTCAGGATTTCGCGTTCAAGGTGTTCGCAGCACCCCTCTCCAACCTGATGTGCTTGGGCCCTCCATTCTGAAGGCCCCATAGTCCAACACCCCAAAACAGCTAAACCAAACAGCCCTCCAGGTTCACAAATCCCACCAAGAGTCTGAACCCCACCACGTCCGGCCTTGTAGTGGATCTCGAAACTGCCATTTCCGGTAGAGACGCGGTCGAAGCAGGACACGAAGAACATCAAGCCTCGAGGTTGTTGATGCGTACTGTAGGCGGAAAGGGTTCCGGGCTATTAACGGGGTTTTACGGAATTTTCGCCGGGACTATTGCATGTAACAGCCTCAATATCACAGAATGCGAGAGCACCAACATTGCAAGACTGCGGCCAGAGAATATTGTCTAGTTTGATGTTTCTCGTGTTCACACTCGGACATGCCCTAAAGCCCTGAAGCCCAAAGGTGCGTAGTCGGAGGTGAGAATACTGGTTCGGCTCTTGGTACACTTCTCGGTTTTTGGTCTTCGGTCGGGGCTTCTTACGACCCGAGCATCGCAATGTGTTTGGGTTCAGGGTTCAGCGAGCCAGAACCTCTTTTAAAATCTTCGTCTTGTGGGGCTTGTTGTTTGGGCTGAGATCTTCGGGTTTGGAAGTTGGGTTTGGGGAGTTCGGGCGTGCTCGAGGGTTTCGACTCACACACTCGGCAATGCTAGGGAAAATTCACAGTCGACTCAGAACAGCCCCACAACAGTTCGACCTTGGACTGCATCAACAACGAATCATGCGCAATCAAACACACGAGGCCACACCATAAAACCTGAAGCCAAATTAAGTCGATCCAGACTACGCTGCATGTGGAGCCTGTATACTACCTCCACCCTATGCCTTAAACTCGAAAATGCCTCCATAAGTACCTCTATGCCATGCCGGGCCCACGTCACGAAAGCACAAAGTATAGCACCAGATCTGCGAAGCCGCAACCCACTGGAAACTCTTGATGATGCTTTTTCTTTATAGACGGGGGAATATTCATAAGGTCCATTACATGTTTCAACTTAACATATACATATACTCCCAGAAACCTATTCGAATTAAGGACTTCTTCATTAATTCCCTATAATGTGGAATCCTTTGGTTCTGCAATTGAGAAATGAATCCACATTAATGTTAAGTAATGTTAAAGAGCCCTAGTCCGAAATTGGGCTTCGAGGCTGTTGCTGTGTTTAAGGTATAGGGTTCAGTTCAGCCCCTTTTGCTGCAGGCTTGCAAGCAAGAACGCCTGGTACGTAGCCACTCGTCCGCCAGCTAGCACTGTACTCGTGACAGCTCTGCCCCTAAACCCTAAACCCCGCTGGCCCTATACTATACTACGGACCAGGATTTTCTCAACCGCCAGGTTCTGCGGCGGCTCCGATTGAACTGCTGGGGTCTTCCGCTCCCTTGAGAAGCTTCTCCGCGGGGGGTGGTACCTCTTTGGCTCTCGAATAAGAATCCCTCAATGCAAAGGGGGACTCTTTTCTTCCCAAAAAACCGACTATTCGGAAAACACGAAGCCACACCAACAAAAGAGTAAAGAGGGTGCTACTACGAGGCCTGGCCTCAATGTCCTTGCCAAGGTGGGCTTGGTTCCAGCTCCAGATGAGGGCCACTGTCTTGTAGACCGTCCTTGTTCCCAGTATGCACATCGCCAGTTGCACTGTCGCATAAACGTTTCGGCCCCCGTAGTCGACAAGAGATCGGCCTATGATTGGACCCATGAACCGGCTCGCCGTGACCGCCGTCAGCTGTCGCAACCGATACTCCGCATTGCTGAAGCTGGTGCCCTCCTTAGCTGCGCGACTGGCCCAGCCTTCGGCGAAACCGTTGGCAACGGTCGCGCCAGTGTAGATAATGCAGTCCGCGATCAAAAGCGTCCACCCCGGAGTTGGAACAAATTCCAGGAGGAGCAGACAGCCGAGGATGGACGAGGCTGCGGAGGCCAAGAAGACATAGGACTCCGTCAGCCAGCCTTTGACCAAGGAAACAGTTGTGAAAACGGACATGATGATGCCCAGGGAGCAGACCGCAGTGAAGTAAATGCCGGTGATGTACGGATCCCAACCGTAGTAGATCTCCAACATCATGATGGTGGACACCTCTACGGCTGCCAAGGTGAAAGGCCGCTCGAAGGCGTACCAAATCATATTCCAGACCACCTGCTCGCGCTCCGGCTCGCCCATGGCCTCGAGGTGGGCGTCAGAGATCATGACCAGGTCCTCCGAATCCTCCTCGTTCTCGTCCTTGTCCTCCGAGTTCGAAGGATAGTCAGAATTCCTTGCCGGCATCACGAAGGCGCCGAAGGAGGCCGAGATGAGGGAGAAAACCAAAAGTAGCAGGTTCACCCATCCCATCATGCTGCGGGGACTCACTCGCTCGCCCCCACCAGTCACAAAAGCGCGTAGTAGCGCAAAGAGCCCGGGTCCAACTACCATGCCCAGGTTTCGGGCGCACTGTTTCAGGATCATCCAAAACGTTCGGTTCTTGGACTTCGTAATCCTCGGCTCTAGCCTTAAACCTCCCCGAAACACAAAAATCTTATGACTACAGACAATTACCTCTTAAGACGAAACAAGAAATTCACAAATCCCAAACTGCCAATCAGAATCTTCGTCCAGAAGATCATGCCCGGAATCACTGACAGGGGCGCGACAAAGGATCCTGCGCAAGACAAACCGATCATCACCCACCAGATCATATAGACCCGGCTGCTGCTTGCTGTCCTTGCTCCCCGATACGGCCAAACCTTTAACGGCTTTAAGCTAGAACCCAAACAAAACGTCGAAAAGTTGGGTGCTGGAGAGCTACTGTAAGTCAGCTAAGTGTCTCGTTAATGAATATGGCGGATGCAAAGTTGAATACCGCGGTGATGAGGGGAACAACCACCAGCACCCGCCGCACGCGAAATTGATCCCAGTTCTCTTCATCCACGAGTCTTTTCCCGGCAACCATAGCGAAGACTCCGGTGATCACACCGCAGCTGAGGAAGAACCCCGAGGACGTGGCTGATTGGAGGAGGGAGAGAGCGAAATCCAAGGAGATAGGCACTTGCATTGACATGGCCACAAATGGCGAAGCGCTCGTCCATAAGTTCATCAGCTGACATGCAATGGACTTCTCTGGATTTTGCGGCTGACAGATTGGAACACCGCCACGGGAGACATACACTTCGTGAAGAAAGACGAGGACGAAGAATCCGGCGACTCCTGCGTAGACCCAGCTTGGGAAGTGCACTATCCGGGTCCCAAAGCGGCTGCGGTCGACGAGCTTCCAAGATGCCGATAACACTGGCCTCTCTGCAGAAGCAGAAGCTTTAGCTTCAGCGACGATGCTGAAGGCGAGTCGTCTATCTTCCCGCTCCCGGACCTGGTAGCTCTGCTGTAGGAGGCCTTGCCCCCACTGCGACACAGACTCCTCGTAGCTCAGCTCACACTGGTTCTGTGCAAGACATGGATAAAGTAGTAGAATGGCGATGAAGCGCATCCTAACGTCGTTTGCAAGTCGGTTCGGTCACATGGAGGGGGCAATGGGGTGCTTGCCCCCAAGTACAGCTTGAGCCAACATGGCTCCTAACCAGCTGCGCGGCTTGTAGTGCGTGGACGTCTTGGCTTGTCGACCAGGATTTGGCTTCAGGGCGCAGTTAAGTTCCACCCCCAGCCAGAATCTCACCAAAAGCCACCTTTTCACTACATGAACCACGAAAGCGAAGGCGACAACCACCCCAAAAGGCAGATTATCCGGATACTCCTCCACCTCAAGCATTAAACCATGAATCCCAAGTTGACCCTGAATCCTAAAGTGATGACGTCTTTTGGACGTCGACAATTTTCAAGGCTCGTCGGTTCCGACCGAGCGCTTCGGGTTAAGGATTTTGTAAGCTCCGTGGTTTGACGTTTGTACGGCTTGGGGTTGGAGGCCTTCTGGGATGGATCCGGACCCATCCACGATTAAGCTACGGTTTAGGGTCAAGCTGGTGGCAGATCAGCCTACTTTCTGTCAAGCAACACACTCCTTGTTGCTGGCCACTTATTCGCGCTCGACTAAGAAAGCCTATGTTTTAAGTGCGGTTTCTGTACTGATTTTTCAACGCGAAGAAGTATGGGGCTCCGGGCCGACGCCGAAGTTGATGAGCAAGAACGCCTGGAACCCGACCAAACACATGCATTGAGTGTACGATCGAGCATTTCTGAACTTTGAGGTTTGAGATTGGATGGTGGCAAAAACCCGTTCAACTGACTAAAAAAGTTGTCCAAGACAAAACCCTAAACACATAACGGCCACAGCCACAGCCGCTGCGAGCCAGTACAGTCTTCTAGACAAGTTTCAAGGTAACAGACATCTGGTAGATCTGGAAGGGTGGAAGAAAATGTCGAATCAACCTTTGCAACAGATATATATATATATACATACATATACGTATACATATACAT